AAGATCCTGAATGTGAGCTTCTCCGCGCGTAAAGTAGAACCAGGCGTGACCGACGAGTTTTACAGCCCGCAATTTCTTCAAGAACGCGTGTACCTGAACAGGGGCATACTGGCGAGGCTGGCGACGGTCACGGTGTTGCCGTTCGATGACAACCTTTGCGTCAGAGAGCCATGCTTGAATTTCGAGGAATGCCTGACGGTATTGAAATTTGGCAACGCCTCTGGATTCGCCAGCAGCGACACGGTATTGTTCAGGCCTATATACCCGGTGACAACGTTTGCCTGCAGATGCGCGAAGGGTTTCACTGGTAGCAAGGAGTCTTATCTGTGCGACACGGAGGTTAATTTATGTTACTCGAATCCGTGTATGAACGGCGGCACTTGTTACAGAAGGGAAGGTGGATACGCGTGTTCATGCGACCGGCAATTCACCGGGAAGGACTGCGAGGTCTCGTTGGAGAAGGATTCTTGCGGCCCAGGGATCTGCAAAGGAGGTTCCCAGTGCGCTGTGAAAACGGCAGGCGGCTTCACTTGCGAGGGTTGCCCGGTAACGCCTCTAGTGGAGAACGTGACGCCACTGTGCGAGCTGCGAGCACGTAGCTTTGGACCCGCGACATTCCTCACGTTCGCGTCACTGAGGCAGAGGCACAGGCTGCACGTGAAACTGAGATTCGCCACGGAAGCGGCGAACGGTCTTCTCCTCTACAACGGTCGTTACAACGAGAAGCACGACTTCGTAGCTCTGGAGATAATCGACTCCGAGGTACAGTTCAGCTTCTCGCTCGGCGACGAGATCACGCGAGCGAGTGCCAGCATACCCGGCGGCATCTCCGACGGTCAGTGGCATCAGGTAGAAGTCCATTACATAAACAAAACTGTGACGATCTCTCTGGACAACTGCGACGTTGCCCTTGCTTTGGAATACGGCGAGAGACTTGGGACGAAATGGTCCTGCGCGGGTAGAAGCGAGCAGGTGTTGGAAGAGCGTTGCAGCATCGTCACCGAGACGTGTCATCGATTCTTGGATCTGACAGGACCATTGCAACTGGGCGGCCTACCTGCCATACCGTCTAGCTTTCGTATCAGAAACAAGGACTTTGTCGGTTGCATCAGCGACCTGTACGTCGATCATATCTTCGTCGATCTGAATTCGTTCGTGGCGGACAACGGTACCAACCCTGGTTGCCCGGAGAAGATCTCCTTCTGTTCGTCCACTCCGTGCAAGAACAACGGCAAGTGCCGCGAGATATGGTCCGGTTTCGTTTGCGAGTGCGAGGAGAACTTTGCCGGGCCTACCTGTGGCGACGAGGTTGGCAAACCGTGGAACTTCCACGGCGACGGGATGCTCAGCTTTAATCCTTTGCTAAGGCCGATTCAGCTGCCTTGGTTAACGGCCCTCAGCCTGCGGACGCGATCCAAGCAGGCGTTCGTCATGAGCGTGCAAATCGGGCAGAACAGTTCCGCGTTGCTGGAGATCCGGGATGGTAAACTAGTTGCCCTGTTAGACGGCACGGACATCGTACAAACGTGGAACAACGTCGGCGACGGTGAATGGCACAGGGTGGAGATCGTCTGGCAGAGTGGTCAGGTGTCTCTCGATATCGACTACAGGAACAGGCCGGTATCGTCGCCGTTGCCAGCGAAATTGCAGGGTCTGTACATCGGCAGGATACTGGTCGGTGGACCGGAACCGTCGACGAACGCCGAGCTACCGTACTTCGACGGCTGTCTGCAGGACATTCGTATAGGCAGCAACCAGAGCATACTGTTAAGGCCGACCGTTCAGGAGAACGTGGCGACCGGCTGCAGCTCGGAGGCTGAGTGCAACGTCGACTGTCCGGCGGAGGCATCGATCTGCGTGCCCAAGTGGCAAGCGGGCGAGTGCGTTTGCGCGACAGGTCGCGTAGGACGTGATTGCGAGCCTGTCTGCGATTTGAATCCCTGCAACAACACTGGCACCTGCGTCGAGGACACAGCGTCCCGCAGGGGATACAGATGCGAGTGTAACTCGCCGGAATACTCCGGCGACTATTGCGAGATCAAAGCTGACCAACCTTGCCCGGCAACTTGGTGGGGCTCGCCCGTGTGCGGCCCTTGCCATTGCGACGAGTCCAAGGGCTACGACCCCGCGTGCAACAAGACCACAGGCGAATGCTACTGCAAGGAAAATCACTATCAACCTTCGGGTAAGAAAGAGTGCATCCCTTGCGAATGTTACGCAACCGGAAGCTTCGGCCCTCGCTGCGACACCGAGACTGGACAGTGTCGGTGCAGGGTCGGGGTCATCGGACGATCTTGCACAGCCTGTCCTAATCCATACGCCGAGGTCACCCTTCGTGGCTGCGAGGTAGTGTACGACGGGTGTCCTAGATCCTACGCCGAAGGTTTGTGGTGGCCGAGGACCAAGTTCGGGATGATTGCTATCGAGGATTGCCCTGGCGTGGCCGAGGGAAAGACTTCCAGATCCTGCGACGACAAACTGGGCGGCTGGCAGGAACCTGATCTCTTCAACTGCACTTCAGAAGCGTTTATCGAACAGAGGCATCAGCTAGCCGCGCTAGAGACCAAGGAACTGACGTTGAACACCTACGTCGCCGTTAAAATAGCGAAGGACGTGCACAGAGCGGTGAACGCGACCAAAGAATTGTACGGCGCTGATTTGTTGATCGCTGAATCTCTGCTAGCGGCATTGTTGCAGTACGAAGAGAGTTTGGTCGGATTGAACTTGACTCACAGCCAAGACAAAGACTACGTTTCTCATCTGGTCGGGATCGCCAGCCACATTTTGAAGTCCAAATATCTGGAAAAGTGGTCGAGAATTGAAACTCTTAACGACGACACCGCTGACAAGATATTGGCCGCGATGGCCAACTATTTGAAGACCCTGACTGCCTCTCAGCACGATATTTTCACCAATCCTTTCGAAGTAGTCGACGCTAATGTTGGCAAGTAGAACGAACATCTCTTTTACATTCAAGATGCAGATTATTTTTTATATAATATACTGACTTCACTAATGGATCGCTTCCGATCAAATGATTTGCTCTTTTAGTGTTGGGCCTGGACATAGTAACTTCTGAGAGTTTATTCGGATATGAGACGGCAGAGTACTTGGAAGACCCGACAGCGTCTACGATAAGGCCGACTGAAGCGGATCAGAAAGTCGTGTTGCCTGATACCTCTGCGTTCTTGTCGTCCCCTGCCCACTTCGGCCCGTCAATTACCTTCCCAAAATATAACAACTACATGGCCGATCCAAACAGATTCGATCCCTATTCAAAGATACGAGTGCCTCTCAATGTGTTAGGCATAAAGCCTCTGATACAAGGGGAGTTAAACGTTAAGAAAAGTTTGGTCAATCGAAAGGCTGTGTTGAGTTACGTGCAGTATAAGCAATTGGGTGCCCTACTGCCTCGGAGGTAAATAATTATTACTTCACGCACGAGTTGTACGTTCCTTTAACGCTAAACGTACCAAGCGGGGTCAAATGACCCCTTTTCAAAATTTACTTTCGAAATCGTACATTCGTTGTTATTCCTTTCGCTAATCTGCCTTTTTGTAAATTTCTTATATTATCTGATTATTCAATTTCTCGTTTTCTGTTCTTCTCTTAGCTCTATATTATCTGATTATTCAATTTCTCGTTTTCTGTTTTTCTCTTAGCTTATTCTTTAGCGAGAAAAATTCTTTGCATACCTTACGTACCGCGAGGGGTCATTTGACCCCTTATGGTAAGATAGGTATATGTAAAATGCCGGTACGTTTAGTGTTAAACATCCTTTGCACGTCCTTCTGTGATAATCAATCGAAAATTATTTCTTCAGATTTGACGATTCCGTAGCAGTTAGATGGGGCGTGGAAGTAGCGGTAGCATCGCCAGTCGTGACAGTGTCCGTTTTAGTACCTTCCGACAACGGTTACGAGTCTCTGACTGGAATTCCCCTCCAGTCCCCAGTTCAAATCAGTCTCTGGCTTAGCGAAAGGGATGAAATCAAGACTAGAACCAATCCACAATGTGTACATTGGAGTACGATTAGAGGGTACGATTTTGTATGCATTTAATTCTTAACGATAGTTCTCTGAATGTTATTCTGAGCGAACGATTCGCCTTAAGGTTCGTTTCTACGTTACAGAATCGGCGAGTGGAGTAGAATAGGTTGTACCACAGAGATCGAGGATGATTCTTTGTCATTCGGCACTATTGTAAACTGCTCCTGTTTCCAATTGTCCACGTTTGCAATATTGACGGACGTACTCGATCCGGAATACGTTCCGGAACCGTCTCTGTTGGAAGATGTAACAAGCTACAGCGCGTTCATGCTCGCATTGCCCTTGCTATTATCCGCCCTACTTATCCTGGCCTTGATACGAGGCGGTGGTACAAATTCAAATAGCATTCACAAAAATTTGGTAATGTGCGTCTTCGTCGCCGAGGTGCTCTACTTGGTCGCGCTGAAAGCGAGAAGCCCTCTAGTCTCGAACGAGTTCCCATGTAAACTGACGGCAATTGGTTTGCACTATGCTTGGTTGAGCACATTCTCGTGGACTTTGGTCGACTCTATTCATCTCTATCGGATGCTTACCGAAATGAGAGACGTGAACCATGGACAAATGAGGTTCTATTATACGATGGGATATGGCGCTCCAGCTATCATCGTTGGACTGACTATTGGAGTTAGAGCTGATCAATACGGAAACTTTTATTTGTACGTGTAGTTCTGTGCCTTTTATTCAAGTATATTGTTAATGAAACAAACGTTGTTAACGAACGAATATCTCACATATTTCAGCTGCTGGTTGTCAATTTATGAAACTGTGATCTGGTCCTTGATAGGGCCAGTTTGTCTGGCGGTCTTGGTGAATTTCTGCATTCTCGTCATGTCAGTGCGGGCAGCTTTTACGTTAAAAGAACACATTATGGGTTTCGGGAACTTAAGGACGTTACTTTGGCTATCGGTAGCTTCGTTGCCTCTTCTTGGGTCCACATGGACTCTGACCGTTCTCAATGCCTCCGAAAATTCCCCAACACTGTCATATCTGCTTAGTATAGCAGTAGTTGTCCACGCGTCGTTTAGCTTGATTGGCTATTGCTTCATTAACGGCAGAGTACGAAGGAATTTGTATTTGAGTCTATTAAGGTGTATTGGAAAAAAGACGCCTTTGTTAGAGGGAAGCATGGGGAACGGAAGCAGCAGTCAGAATGTAAATGGTCACTCGGTACGTCGTACAATTTTATCCGTTTAATATATATACGTCAAATCAAATGTGAGAGAGAATTTTTCTAAGTTTAATAACATTACAGCGATCTGCGTTGGCTTATTCATCGACGTATAGCGGGGCAGAATCCGTATGCAGAAGAGTGCATGTAGGAGTCTCAACGAGCAGTACAACTTCACGAAGTACAAATAAGACTGGATCCAGTCCCTATCGTAGCGATACACATTTAAGGCATACATCAACATCCACGAGCAATTATAACAGCGACAGAGATCCCTATATGTCTTCTAGGAGTCATCGATCAGCGTTACACTCTAGACAAGGTATTCGTTTGATCTGAGCCTTTGTGATAATTATTTACAACAATGTCCAACCATTTGCAGAAGCGACAGAACCAAGGAATCAACGTAGAGATTCTGAATCTGATTCAGACGGTTCCCAAGCGGAGGGTGGAGGAAGAAGTTTAGATCTTGCGAGTTCACACAGTTCCGACGAAGAAGACGTCAGGTCGAGATCGCACAGGAACATGGGCGTTTCGACGCAGCAACCTGTCGCGCACAATTATTTGCCTAACATTCACAGCAATCCTACCGAACACTTGAACATACTTTGCTCGAACACAGAACTATTTCCGAACATCAAACCCATTTATGCACCTAGGTGGAGTTCTCAATTACCGGAAACATATTTATCGTCAAATGGTAAATCTCTGATAGGCTCGTGTTTCGACACTATTGGGATATTTCGAATTAAATTAAACAACAATATTTTTTGTTTGCAGTAATAGACGTGCGTGGGAGTCAGTGGTCCGGAGGCACCATGTCCGACAACGAAATGGCCTCGAACAAAACCTCCAGTCCAAATCCGTTGCCTTATCCTGAAATGAATTCGCCACAGAAAAGTCAACCGGATGAAAATTACTCGGAAGGGGAAGAGAAGCTTCATCATCTCGGAGAGAAATACTTGTTCCCATATACCGCTGAAGAAGATCACACTGTCTCGCCTACTCCTTACATGCTGCCCATTTCTTCGCGCATTCTTGCTTCCAGCATGAGCCACCATTCGCAAAATTCAAACCACGAGAATTTGAGCGGTTCGGAGCGCTATGGAAGTTTGAAGAGGGGGCAGAGCCTACATGGCTCTCAGCACGATAATCTCAGCGGCTCGGAAAGATACGGTAGCTTGAAGCGCGGCAAAATTACACCGACCGTGCTAGAAGATTCGCCGGAATATATTCTACCGATGAGCGGTAGAATATTGTCTAGTTCGCTGACTCACGATCTACAGCATAGCAATGAATTGGCTGCGCTTAGGCAGCAGCAACAGCAACAATACGAACAAACCATTACAGAGACAGAGTGAGTATGATGCATTATATTTTATGAGAGACATTATTTTTGGCGTCACAATAAATCGTATTGATGTAGTTTAACTAACTAACTTCGTTTACTTTATAATTTACGCTTACCCTGGAACGTAATAATTAGCGAAGAGGTAAGCGTCTGTAGAAATATTACACACTTCTAAGAGTATTTATTACTTTGTTAAAAAAAGTCATACTGAGTTCGATGCTTTAACGAACACTTTTGTCATTTTCCTATCCTTTATGTTGTTTCAGGAAGGATACTAATGCGGAAACGTCAGTATGACGATCTCTGTGCTACAAATAAACACCGTACAAAGTAATATAACGTACTATTAA